TGCATATATTGTTGGTCCCCACAATATGAAGCTTCCGAAGAATTAAATCCTAGGTGTTAATAAGTTGGTAGAATTTTTGCAAAATTGATTTGAATAGTAAGTAGAATTTGGAAGTTTAGGAATTTCAAATTTTAACACCGTTCTGCTCACAATGGAGTTCAGTCTATATCGGAAAATAGAGAGGATATGAAGAGCGTATATCTTTTTTTCTTGATTTTGCGAATATGAGATTTAGTCCCTAGGAATATATCAGTACATACATACCTACTTTAACGAGCCTCACTCCGTGGTGTCCAATGCATGATCTAATTGAGTTGAGGTGAAAAAGTCAACTTCACAATGTTTCTTCTCGTTGATGAAATCAGATAACGTTGTGGCCCGATGAGTTGTCAATTTCTCATCTCAGATTCTCTCTTTATTTACCTATTTGTTGGATTCTTTCCTTTTGGTGATTTCTAGTACACGGGTTGTCTATGCCAAACACTTGTTTATGGACATACATTGTTACCAAGTAAGAAAAAAGTAAAAGAAAAACTTATGTATGTATGAATATGTCTTGATGCTTCCTGGAGTGACTGTTTTAACTTTTAAGTTTGAAGTGTTTTTGGACAATTTGGGTTCAGGCTCGTAAATATTAATTAATATTACAAATATTCAAAATTCTTAAGGTTCTGCAGCCTCAAATAAACCATTGGGGTCAGAATTAGATAAAACCTATATCAAGAGAAATTTAGCCTTCAGTTGCTTTTGGCATGCATTGGGTTAGTTCTGTTCATTTCTTAGTATGAGGTGGGCACAGATGATTTACAGTAGACCTGTTGAACTTCATTTCTTTCAGTAGCATATCAAGATGACACACCGTCTGTAAAATATGTTGTCTAAATGCTCGGTTGCTTGTACATAAAATCCCATTCTGGGGCATTGCTGAATCTCTTCTTTCTCTTTTCATTTATTATCATATCTGGATCTGTAGCTGTTCTAGTCAAGTTATGCAGAACTTCCAAAAAAATATTTGCACAATGCTATTGGCTACATGATGATATTTCATTGTTGGCAGTTGAATTTTTTTTTTTGTTGGATTTCTTGTTCTTCGTCGAAGTTAAAAGAAGAGTTGATTTCAATACAGGGACGCTATTGTTACATGGATTAAGAAGAAAACTGGACCTGGTATATCTAACATAACAACGACAGAGGATGCAGAGAGTATATTAACGTCTGAGGATAAGGTTGTTTTGGGCTTCCTCAACTCTTTGGTGGTAAGCTAGCACTTACTTTGCCTTCTTTTACCACATTTATCATTTTTTTTTTGTCATGGTGACAAATATAAGTTTGTCTTCGTTCATGCTTACATAGTTTAAATTTTTCATTTTACGAGGACAGTGCATAGTATTTGTTAATATAAGCTTTATACACTGTTCAGTTCTTTCAAGCTAATACGAACCTTTTGGAGAAAAAAAAGACTATCAGATTAATGTTAAAGATAAAGGAAATCATTTTCCACCCTCACTTAAGTTTTAACTATGATAGGGGCCCGAGAGTGAAGAGTTTGCTGCTGCATCAAAGCTTGACGATGATGTTAACTTTTACCAAACTGCAAATCCCAATGTGGCGAAGATGTTTCACTTGGAAGCTAATGCGAAACGCCCTGCTTTGGTCTTGCTAAAGAAAGAGGCAGAGAAAGTGGCCCATTTTGGTTAGTACCGACTGCATACTGTTTTAAGCCATCTGCTTGTCCATATCTTACTAAAATTCATCATCTTAATTCTTGTTCAGATGGAGAGTTCAAAAAGTCTGTAATAGCTCAGTTTGTTTCTGCCAACAAGCTTCCTTTAGTGACCACTTTTACCCAAGAAAGTGCATCACTGATATTTGAGAACCCTATTAAAAAGCAGGTCAGTAACTCCATAATGTTTTCTAAATAGACATTGTTATACGACCCGTCCTTAACAAAACCTTTCTTTCCTTATCTTCACAAAATAAGTATGTGTAATGTTCATTGTTGTAATTCTGAACTCCTTTTTGTTCGTAGCTTTTACTCTTTGCCGCATCAAATGATTCACAAGAGGTCTTTCCAATATTTCAAGAAGCTGCAAAGCTTTTCAAGGGAAAGGTACTACTGTCAACTTGCTATTTAATATTCTTGCGTCGTTGCAAAGGACAGTTGCTTGGACTTGAAAATGAATTAGGAACGTCAAATTATTTACTTAGGCTTGGCAAACTTCATTTTACCTTGAATTTTGCCGATTTGAACTAATTTATCACTATACGTCAGACCTCCATATATTTTATGTCTACCACACACTGATCCACAATTTCTAGAAGTTGAGGCTGATGGATATGTGAAAAACTATTTCTTACTTTCATGACCTTTAAGATACTTAGCACTTGTAACAGTGCTATAAGATATTTAGCAATTATAATAGGAATGCTATTTCTAAGTTAAAATCTTTCTACACAACCAAAACTTTTTCTAATCTAATTTCTATCTTTTAGCCAGGATCAGGCTTTTGCTGTGGCTCTATAGTATTTTTGACATTATATTTTCATTAATAATATCAAATAACTCCCTACTTCAAACTGATGCAGCTTATATTTGTATACGTGGATATCGACAATGAAGAAGTTGGAAAGCCAGTGGCAGATTATTTTGGAATCGCTGGAGATGCTATAAAGGTAACCTTCTTTAACATTTTTGATAAGTTACCTCATTTCCTATATGCAATAGCTCTTTCCTACAAAGATGCAATTCTATAACTCGAGCAATTGTCAATCTGTTGAATTCTCTTGTAGGTTTTGGGCTATGCAGGAAATGATGATACTAAGAAATATATACTCGACGGTGAAGTTACACTTGAGAAAATCAAGGTTGAATTTCACTACATTGTTTTCTTTGGTTAAAAGCTTCTTCTTCTTCTTCTTCTTCTTCTTCTTCTGCTTTTTTGATCTTGTGTATTCGTTACCCCTAATGTCTTTGGGTTGAATTTCATTGTTTTATTTCGGATCAGGCATTTGGGAAGGCTTTCGTGGAAGACAAGCTCAAACCTTTCTATAAATCAGATCCAATTCCCGAGAATGTGAGTTGTAATCTAATTCCAATTTCCAATCTGATTACTTACCTCACTTAATATGCTAATCAACATCCTCTTTAAATATTTACTGTTGCAGAACGATGGGGATGTCAAAATAATCGTTGGAAATAATTTTGATGATATTGTTTTGGACGAGTCTAAAGACGTTCTTCTCGAGGTAACCATTGTGAAAAAATTGCATTGTTAAATGTTCTTCAATGGCCAAATTCTAATTTAAAATCTGCATACATACTATTTTAGCTATACGCACCATGGTGTGGCCATTGCCAATCCCTCGAACCAACATACAACAAGCTTGCCAAGCACTTGCGCGGCGTTGAATCTCTCGTTATAGCCAAAATGGACGGAACCACAAACGAACACCCCAAAGCCAAGGTATTTTCAATTTAAAAAATCTTGAATTTGAAATCGAAATTATTAATGTTTCAAAAAAAAATGTGATTGATGTGAAGAAAAATTTCTGCCTGCAGCTGATGGGTTTCCCACAATTCTCTTCTTCCCAGCGGGAAAAAAGAGCGTCGATCCCGTAAGTCATGTTTCAACTCATAATAGATAACATGCATTATACTCTGTATGTAAAGTACGATTAGATGACACTTGAAATTAAAATGGCAGATTTTGGTCGATACTGACCGGACAGTAGTGGCATTCTACAAGTTCATCAAGAAACATGCTTCGATCCCTTTTAAGCTTCAAAAACCAGGTTCGGATTCTAAAGCCCGAAGAAAGAAGAAGTAACTAAGACATCCACTAATGATGTGAAAGATGAGCTATGAAGGTGATTTGTATTACTGCAAATTGCTCTTTCTGTGAATCTATAGGCAGATTCCTACTTACAGGTACTGAGACAGAGATACAAGAAACGGATAATATATATATGAAGAGAATCTAAGTTATCTAATTTTGTCTTTGTATCAACTTTTTTGATTAACATCCTGATTAACTCATAATATAACATATATTTCTTTCCATAATACTATCATTTTTAGTCTTGCTTATTTTTGGATGACCCAAGATTACGGGAAATTAGATGTGACACCTGATTATTTACACTTGATGGATTTCAACCGAAGATCTATACATAATTACACACACAACCATGTATATGTGTGTATGTGTGCTTAGTGAGTAGTTGTTTAATCAAATATACAGCTCAAATTCATTCGGTCTACATAACTATGTGTAACATCTAATTCCTCATTACTAGTGTATGGCAGGATGGGTATTTTCTATTTTTACTATTTAATTTCCTTTTTATATTCTTAATTTTAGAAAAATAATGATTTCTAAGATTCAATTCATAAATCTATGTCGAATAATACAATCACTCTTGCTCCATCAAGTAGGCCACCATTTTAAATAGTTGTGACGTTACAATTATTTATAAGAACTCGGATTCAATTTATCTTTTGATTTTAGATGGGGGCAAAATGCCAAATAAATTGTATTATGAGGGCATGGATGTAATTCTACCCATCCAATTAAACTATTTAAAAAAAAATGAATTTATGGTACACCAAATCAAATTTAGCCCTTAAAAAAATGAACCGACACGTCTGATCTTAGACATTTTGTAGTTGCCATTAGGGGGAATAACTCCCCATGCGAGTGGGACGCGACTACTACATTTTTTGAATTCTGAAATTGATATTATAAATGTAATTTTTGGAGAAAACAATTATTTAAGAAAAATAAAAATTCTTAGATAATTAAAATTCAATTGAAAATCAAAATATTCTCACACATACTTCAATTTCGATAAAAAAAAAAAAAAAACCGTAAAAATCGATGTCTCCATACAAAGCATCAAGTAAAATAATAAAATAATATTGACCTATATCAACATTTAAAAAAGAAATGCATGATTAAAAAAATAAAATAAAAAACTTAAGAATTAAGATTCAAAAAAAAAAATGGTATTCCACTTTCCTTCAATTGAAATCAAATCCGTTTCCCACTCTCTAATCTTCTCTCTCCTCTTTCTCTCTCTATATACACGGCACCGCCTTTAAACAAAAAAAAAAAAAACTTGTATTTATTCTCACAAGTCACACCCCTTCCTTCCTTCTCTGCAAACCCCAATTAATCACTCTCTTAATTCCGTTTTATCATTAAACTAATCTCATTCAAATCTCCAATATTAACTTCCTCAAAACCCCTATCACGCTTCTCAGATCTCTCTCTCTCTCTCTAGCTTTCTCTCTCTACAAATGGCTTCACTTCTTCATTCTCTCCCTGCAACTCTCTTCTTCGCTTTCCTCCTCATCGCAAACCCTACCTTCGCCGCAGATTCGCCTTCGCCTTCACCTTCTTCGCCGCCGGACTCCAACTCCCCGCCGCCGCCTCCGGCGATTCCATCGCCTTCCCCTGCACTCGACAATTCTCCACCGGCGCCTCCAATGTCAGATCCCGATCCAGACACGCCTTCTCCTTCTCCTTCTCCTTCTCCGCCTCCTTCGTCCGACCCCAAAAAATCTCCATCTCCGGCGCCGGTTGTGCCTGGAGGCGTCACGCGCAACGATAAGCCCAATGCCGGCGATTTGGACACCAAGGATGACTCCGACGACGGCGGCATGAGCGGCGGGAAAAAGGCCGGCATCGCATTCGGAGTCATCGGCGCGGCGTGCCTCGCAGGACTCGGCGTGCTGGTGTACAAGAAGAGGCAGCTGAACATCCGCCGCTCGCAGTACGGCAACGCCGCCAGGAGAGAGTTTCTGTAGAAGCAAAATCAGCATTTTCAGTAGTATTACACTATCACAATTTACACACAGAGTGGTTGATTTTTTTGTTATTCCGGTTACGAATTCATCTTAGATTCAATTGCCAGATTTGATGGAGGTGAGTTGATTTTTGGTTTTGATTCTTTCACTGGTGCTCTCAGTCAAATAAGCGTGTTGTTTGTTTCGCTTCATTAAATTCATCACTGTACAACACATAATTCATCATACATTCATACATTTAATTTGTTCTAAAAACTTTGTTTCAGAACATCTGATTCATGCTAATTACATGTTTAATGGTTAATTATGTACACTTGTCATGATTATGAATTTTAATTATTTATATAAATATAAATATTAGTTTGTTGAATGTTGATTTGATGGATCAATTCTATGTTTGTTTTGTTTGTTCAATTTAGATTTTAATTTCGAGAAAGAATTTAATATTTATTAAATAAAATAACTGAATGATGTGTCAACGCGTAAAAGAAAATGAATGGGGACAAAGTAGCACGTTGTTGTGTTACAGGGTGGAGGTTTGTGTAATTGGTGGCGTTAATTGTGGTTAGATACATGTGGTCCTCACACCATATAGTTTGGTTGGTAAACAGAATAAATGTTTTCACTATGCGTTGTGGATGAGCTGAGCTGAGAGTAACATGTATAGTTCTTGTGAACATATTTCATATTTGGTTTTTTTTTTTTTTTTTTTTTTTTTTTTTTTTTTTTTTTTTGGGGGAACTTTAAAAATTTTGGGCCCACCCAGATTAAAAAAAAAAAAATTAAATGGTTAATGAAAATTCAAGTGTATGGTTGGATCATAAGAAGTAAGGTATCGAAAGTTCGAACAGAAATTTTTTGAGTTCGAGCTTTCTGAAGAGTTGAGCTCGGGTATTTTCTTTATTCACGAGCTCACGAGCTGCCTTGTGAAAAATATAAATAATTTTTATTAATAGTAGATAAATAAAATAAAAAAACCAAAGTGAGCTAGAGCTTGAACCAAAAAACAAAATACTCGAAGAGCTTAAGCTCGACAAAATGAACTCGAGTTTGGCTCTTCCAGACCCCTCTAAGCTTAACTAACATTGGACAGTCGGTGAATTGACTTTTTCGATAACAATATTTGCTTTTTCATACTCCTTCATACAATTAAAAAAAAAAAAAAAAAAAAAAAAAATAAAAAAAAAAAATAAAATAAAAAAAATAAAAATATCATTTAATTCAGTAAAGTTTGTAGATGAAGATTAGTACCTGCACTTGTTACATACAACCTTCACAAGTTACAACTATGTAGTATGTACTATGAATATTCAATAGCAATTAAAGACGATAAATAGACCGCACAAAATACTCTGAACAAAATCAATTATAAGAAATATATTTTCAAGATATTTTTATGTTGCACAAAATAAGCTTTATTTTCTACTATTTCAGTATTTATGAAAATAGATACTATTTTGGTTTTTCAATAAAATTCAAATTCTGGCACGAATTAAAAAATATTAAGAACTAAGAAAGAAGTAATTAAAATCCTAAACCTTAATAACTGTAAAAAGTAAAAACAAACTGCTTTAAGTCTCAGTGGTACCTCCCGCAGTAACAGTAGTACCAGCACCAACGTGAATCGTCTTCATTCCTAGCCCTTTGGATCTTTTCCGCATCACTGAAACCAAAGTCTCGGTTGTACGTCCCGCATCAACAGTAGTACCATCGGAAACAGCAGAATCATTAGCGGCAGCTTCACTCGCCTTCTTCCCCAAGGTTTTGGGTGCTGTAAAGGTGGTACTTCCCGCATCAATAGTTGTACCATCGGAAACAATTGAATCATTAACGGCAGCTTCGCTCGCCTTCTTCCCTAACGATTTGGATTTTTTCGGCTTCACTGCAACGGTGGTACCTTCCGCAGCAACAGTTGTACCGGCGGAAACAGCAGAATCATGAACGGCAACTTCATTCGCCTTCTTCGTTTTGGATTTTTTCGGCTTCACTGAAACGGTGGTACCTTCTGCAGCAACAATTGTACCGGCGGAAACAGCAGAATCATCAACGGCAACTTCACTCGCCTTCTTCCTCTTCCTTCCTAGTGTTTTGGTTATTTTCCGCTCCAATGAAACGGTGGTACTACCTGCAGCAACAGTTGTACCGGCGGAAACAGCACCATCATCAATTGCAACCTCAGCAGCCTTATTCCCTGAAGCGACGCCGCCGCCATGGGTAAGGAGAGATGTGACGTGGCACTCCAGCCAGTCGAGATCTTTGAGGTCCTTGATCGCTTCCTCCATTGTGAAGGCGGCATCATCACCACCTGATACGGCGCCGTCCAGCAGCGTCGAGCGGTGGAGATCCATCAGTTCCATTGTTGTTATCATATCGATCAAAACGCTCTGAATTATAAAATTGCTTATCGTCAATCAAAAATACCCAAGGAAAAATCATAAATCATAATTAACAGAAATTAAACAGTAGATCTCAATTTGAGCACAGAAATCTGTATGCCTTTTGAGCGCTGCTCTTGATGTAACCATGCATGGAAAGGATCTGCAAAAAGAAAAACAAAAACGACGAATCGATTTATTTAGCACCAAGTTTTGAAATATTAAATTGTCGTAAAAAATCAAATCAGATATATATATATTGGGGAACAGAGGCGATGAATTGACCTGTAAAAGTTGGGGGACGGTGAGATGGTGGTGGTGAGTGCGGCCGTCAATGAAATCGAGGTAATCGTCGATTGTAAGCTTTTTAAGCTTTTTGTGTTTTTCCTTCACCGGAACCGCCGTGGTCATCGTGGTGGCGGATCCATCTTCAGCGATTTCCATCTCTTCTACTTTTTTTCTCTCTCTACAGAATTTGCAGCGTGTTTGATTTGAACGACCTCACACCACTCTATATATATAACAACAAAAATAAAAAATAAAAAATAAAAAATAAAATATAAGAAATGAGCTTGCGTGGTTTTTACCACCTCCACTTGTTTTTGAGCGGGAAAACGAAAGTTTATTTAATTATTTCTAACAAAATGACATTAAAATTTAAGCAAAGTTTATAACAGTAGTGAGTATTTCTTTTAGGCTTTGTTTGGTAGATAAAGATGTCAATTGATTGAAAAAGAGACTTATAATAGAACATCGATAAATTAATAACTTCGCTTAAATAATAATTTCTTTCGGTCCCGACTCAATGAGAACGTGTTAAATAATTAACTCATCTACTTCCCTAAATTAATAGAATTTCACCACTCCAGACTGTATTAATTTTTTACAGACGTTTATCTGTATTTAATATTTCGTTACCGAAATTTTCAAATTTTACGGAGACATAATACATTAGAAAAGCCCCCGAAAAAGACTTAAATTCAGCGTAGAAGCAGTAGCCATCACTGTAAAAGCTTTGATTTAATTGACAGTGGCCTAAAATTTACAGAGCTGAATGGAAGAAAACACACTTCTATCAACAATTGGTGATTTCCACAGAAAGCTTCGAATAATATCCTTCGATTTAGAGGGAAACAAAAATACAAATTCACATTTCGATCAACGTTCGAATCGTTTCAAAAGAAGCCCCAAGATCGAACAACTTACGTGTAAATCCAATTCAGCCAAAAAATTCATCACGATATGTATCTATCTTTCTGCTTTTGAAGAAGCTTTGCTGAAGATTTAGCATCCAGATATAGGGAATTCACTTCTTCAATATCCGCCTGTATAAAGGTACAACAAGTTTAATTTAAAAAAAAAAAATTATTTTATTTTTCTCCTAAAAAGAATCACCGAAAAAATTAAATCAAAACGATCAATTTAATCACCTTGCAAATATTATCACGACCGCTCATTTTTGCAATTATGCTTGCAGGAGATAACAGCTGAACCGCATGCCTGAGAGAAAAAAATTAACGAAAAACAAAAAGATAAAAAATAAATAAATAAATAATAAATAAAAAAATAAAAAAAAATCACCTCAAAGATGATCGTTGTCCAATCTCTCCAAGATAAGCCAGACTTTCCTCGTCAATTTTAAGTCCCTCCACCTGTGCTCGGATTGCTAATATCTGGCAAAAAGATTGACGTCATATTTTCTAAGAATATTCGAGGTTGTAAGAACTTTAAATCGAAATAAATTGTGTAAGAATAACAAGGTCTTCACCTGAATCATTTCAGCGAGGCCATAGGTTTCGGTTTTTATAATAACCAATCGGTCCAACCAGTCAACTGGTACACCATGTGGACTAGCCATCTCGGTTCCTCTGCAAAAGCAATGTTAAATACCCCGGAAAAATAAAACATAATTAAATTCAGCATTTTCAAGAAAATTGATCAAAATCTTAGATTTAGAAACATCGATGAATTTGGATACCTGACATTACAAATTCCTCGATTTGTGGCAAAAATCACAATGGGGGACAGTGAACTTTCCAAAGCACGGTTTAAGTAAGAAAAGCACTCCATATCCAGCATATGAACCTGAGTTATTCGTAAAGTGTTACCGTATAATACAAGCATAAAGTTTAAGATTCAAGTTAAATATACGAAAAAGAAAAAAAAAAAAAAAAAAAACCTCGTCAATAAACAAGACACCAGGGACGAGTTCAGCCACACCTTCATTTATATACCCATTAATAACCTGCAATCAGTTAACCAAATAAATCAAAACTGCTTTAAACACTTGTTCAAAGTCCTATGACATGTTTCAATTCAGACCATACCTTATTTACTTCCTGTCTTAATTTGTCAGTAATTTCGGTTTTCCTTGGCTTCATCATTTGGCCAATTAAGGACAAAATATCTCGTTCTCCTCCAGGCCGTGCATTTTCAACATCAAGATCATGCAGTGTCACGTACTGCAATAAGTAAGAACTAAAATATACGCAAGAAGACTATATATTAACTAAAAATAAAAATTATTTTTTTCGAAATAATTAGGATCGAACCTCGATGATTTTTTTCTTTTTGTGAACCTGTCCTTTAGGAAGTCGAACATATTCTTCCTTCTCGAGATCGAATTCGGTAGCAAAAGCATCACTCCTTCCCAACCTTTTAACTTCTCCGCTATTTATTTCGATGCATATAACATCACCCACAGCCACCTGTAATTTGTGACATTAAACGAAACATGGTGAAATAGTGCTGTTAAGAAATTGGCGAATTCTTCTGTTCATGCAAAATCCTTTCGAATAAATTCAGATTACAAAAGACTTCACTTGAAATGATATATGTTTCTTAGAAACGGACCTTTTCTTTGATCAAAGCATCGTATATGGATGGATCCAACTTCAGTTGTTTCGTCCCTTTTACAGTTTTTAACTCGATTATAACATGGCATGTACTTTTACCATATATGTCAGGTACACTGTCGGTTTCTTCTGGAGATAATTCGGTCACCTGTAACATAAACAGTAAAAAACGTAATCGTAACAAGAAACTGAAACATAGTCTGAAGCCATATTTAAAAAAAAAATTGTAGTGAATTTTTTGTAACAAATTAGTTCATAGTAGAGTGGCTGCTTACTTCTCCTTCATAAACCTCCTTTTTCTCTTTAAGACGTATACCAATAGCTCGTCGAAAATTCTCCATTAGAACTTCCGTCTTTTTCACTTCCGATGAGTACACTTCTGATGCAACCATGGCGCAAAAAGGAACCTACATATTTTACAAGGCACAAGAAAACCTTAAAACCACTACTTACAAATAGAGTGGATCGATCACTCAGTCGCGTATTTGTCCAATTATTGGTTCTCCAAATAAAACGTAGAAACTAGTAACGAAAATGAGATAAGATGAAACAATGATTCGACCCTTCTTACCAAAGTGAATGTTTAATGTAATTCTTGCTCCAAATTCTATACGATCATCAAACGAACACTTAATATATATATATATATATATATATATATATATATATATATATATATATATATATATATATACCTTGTGATCGAGTTCTTTAGAAATTCCTAAAGCAAGAGCGGTTTTTCCAGTACCGGATGGACCGGCGAACAGAACGGCGCGCCCAGCCATCTTCTTTTGCCGAACCATCTCAGCCACAAGACCGCCAGCTTCTCTTGCAGATTTCTGGCCCACAAATCCATCAGCTAAAGGTCTCGCGTGTCCATTTTCCTATGTATAATAATGCAATAATCAAGAACAAAAACTAATCTATTTAATAAAAGCAAAATTTCTTCATCTACGTACAACCAGATATTATGCAATGTTTCATTTATATGCCCCCCTTACATTTCTACTACATCCATAAATTTGCCATTTGCGCCACATAGAAATCGGAAAATGCGAAAATTGAAGAATGGCAAAACCCTAACCCTTAAACCCCCCACAGAACCACATAAAAAAAATTCAAAAAATAAAATAAATGAAATCGAAATTCCATAATGCAGAGTGGTTAGAATATCAACTAAAAACACGATCAAGGAAAATAAAACTTGAAGCGGATTAAAAAAAAAATTACAGAGGCGAACAGAAGAAATTACCTCAAGGCCAAGGCCTTTAATGTGGGTGTGAGTGGCGATTCTCTTCTTCTTCGCCGTCGATTTTACTTTTATTATCTTCATTTCCAACTTGTTTGTTGATTTTTAGCCGCTTTTTTTCGTCGAGTTTCTTCGGTTATTCTTTCCTTCTTCTGCAAGTATCTTTTCTGTTGTGATAAAATCACAAAAGCTTCTCTTCTATTGTGAGAGATGCTTCTCTCTCTCTCTCTCTCTCTCTCTCTCTAACTGTATTTGTGAGGAACACAGAGAGCAGCTTCAAAAGCATGAGCAGCGTGTTGTACTTACTATTTAAGTTATAAATCCTTTTTTATTAGTTTTATTTCGGGAAACATACTTTTTTTAACCCCTCAAGTTTGCACTAATTTCACATTTTACCCTCATGTTCATAAAAAAACACATAATGTTTCAAAAATTCAACACTTTAAGTCCCTTTTCATCAATTTTTCGTTAAAACTAACAGAATCATGCGTGTGTTCATGACTGTCTTAACTGACGAAGTAAAGATAAAGTAATGGCAATGAGCAAAATTGTTAAATTATTAAAACATGAGGGACCAAATGTATTTTTTGTGAACATGGAGGACCAAATGCGAAATCGGTGCAAACTAGAGGGATGCAACCTATAATTCTCCCTTTTATTTCCTAAAAAATATAGGATTCATGGTGTTATAAATCGAACTCGAATAACTTGATTTTTGTACATTATTTTGTATACTAAATAATGCTTGGAATTGAAATTAGGGCAACTTATTATAGTAACCATTAAGTTGGCCCCATGTCCTACAAGGAATAGTCTAGCCGTTGAAGTAAGTGGACTTGTGTCAATAAATACAAGTTCGGATACAGTTGTCAATGGTCATTAGGTCGAGTTTGTCACACATGGTTAGTTTAGTCTGATTTACGTATTTCGTATTGTTTGCAAGCTATTATACGAGAGTGTAGGCTTATCCAATGCACCTATATAGTTGGCTCTCGTATGGTTTGCAAGTTATTATATGGTTGGTTGCAGGTTCCTTCATTGGTCCCCCAATGTGATTTATATACTAATTTTATATTTAATAAAAATAATAACAAAAAATTCGAAACAAGGATAAAAATATTTCAAGTTACTAAAAAAATGCATACATTCATTTCACAAGCACAACATGTTTTTTTTAATTAAACTGCATACGTGGAAGTAGTCCCATTCTACCCTTGAATGTTTCTCATTCAAGAGGATGAAGCAGGGGCTAAACAGTAAACATACATATTTCACTTCAACTATCCAAGTATTTAAAATAAAATAAAAATAAAATTAAAATTCTAATAATGTACACATTAAAGAGTACTCTAAAAGAAAGCAGCAGATTTGAAATAGCTCAGACAAACTTTGTTAAGAGGCATTGCCATCTTCCACCAGATCGTATCTCTGAAGAACCGCAACTGTCTCCTCCTCGGCACTGCCAATACACGAAAAAGGGCAATATCGTCTTTTAATAATAAAAGAAACGCAGAACATGCCATGTCATCTCCAATATCAGATTAAGCAAAAACATGTTTTTGCAGTTCTATACATATTATTTTCGACAAGAATATAATAGAACAAAATCTGCAAACAATACAATTTCATCCCCGTTACAAAAAAAAAATCTATTTTCCCGATAAACGAGCCTCATTTTTTTTTCTCGATTTGGAACTACAATTTCACAAGATGACAATCATATATTATAAAAAATAATAAATAAATAAAAAAGATTTAGGATACTAGATATTTTACCTTCCGGGCCTTAGAATCTTGTACTTTCCGACACTAGTAAGATCGATTACTGTGGACCCCGCACGCCCGGATGGAAGAACACCATCGTTGTAGATGTACGCGCAGTGCTGCCATAGATTTTCGAAATCTCTTACATCTACACTGCTTCGTTGACCACTAAGGTTTGCACTAGTGAGGGCCAATGCACTACCCGAACCACGAGCAACTGCCCTAATGAAATTACAATCGGGCACTCGAACGCCTATACTATCCAATCCAGGGTTCAACGACTTCTCAAGAATACTCGACTCCCCTACAAAATATCCAAATTCACGCTAAGAAATAAAAAAAAGTTGATTAACCGAAGAAGAGTAGAGAACATGTAATAAAAAAATATTAAAAGAAAACGGCATTAGGGTTTACATACCTCGTGTTAGGACGAGTGTTACGGGTCCAGGAAGAAGAGAATCGAGCAGTCCGTGAGGCAAATGGTCAGTTACAGCAAAGCGTTGTATGTCGTGTACGTCGCCGACGCAAATTGCAAGAGGGCTTGTGTACTTACGGCCTTTTATTTCGTATATTCGATGAACTGCCTCCATCGAGCTGCTCTAGGCCAGAATTAAAAAAACGGAAAAAAGAAAAGGCGAAACGAAACTGAGTTACCTTTGTAATCCGTAGCTCATATCATGAACAATGAAACTATTTTAGCTTCTTTTTTTTTTTTTTTTTTTTTTAATTAAGCAATCACAAATGCATTTGAAAAACGAGAGGGCTTTTTCTTCATCGAATAATCAAGTGGAATATCGTCATTCAATCAATTTGCAATTTATTTATTCTGTTAATACTAAAATAGCCGAACTTCTCTTAACATCAACGAAGACAATGAAATTAAAATGCATAGTCCATAAGATTGAATTGAGCTTGGTGCCATATGTGCGTGTGTGTGTGGGGGGGGCGAGAGAGAGAGAGAGAGAGAGAGAGAGAGAGAGAGAGAGAGAGAGAGAGAGAGAGAGAGAGAGACCAAGCATCACAAGCAAAGCCGTAGAGGGTATCAGTAGGCACAGCAATCACTTGCCCTGCCCTCAAAGCTTTGATTGCCTCGTCAGCATAATCCTCTGTGGCGGGGTGCACAGCACCCATTGTAGCAGATTCCACACTTTGCCCATCACATTTCTCTAAACTCCAAGCCATTCTCTTCGCAGAAGTTCCTCCAATTTCCCTCCTACTTTGCAATATCTTCACAAACTGCAACTTCTGCACCCCTTCACACAAACACGCACGAAATGTATACACTCAAACAATTGAAAGAAGAAAAAAAAACATTTACCCCCAAATCGAAAAAGGCGTTCAGATACAAGAGCGTTTAATTGGAAATGGCAGTTCCAAATTACAGTTGACTAAAATAGTCAGAGAGAGAGAGAGAGAGAGAGAGAGAATACCTGGAGATTGTAGAGAGAGAGAGGAGAAGAAGAGGGGCAGCAGCCTATGAGTATGGAGAATTGTTGTCGGAGCAATTATTCTCATCAGAAATCTTTTGCTTCCACTGCGGCTACTTTATCTCTCTCTCTACGTTCACTGCGCGCACTCGGTCTAGAGAGAGAGTTGGAGAGAGAGCCCTATTTAATTGGAACTGACCAAATTTTGGTTATGTTCTTTAAATTATTAAAATTAGGGCTATTTATTGCAATAAAATCCTTTTTTTCAAATGAATATTTGTCAATGCAACAAAAAAAAGGCGATATAGAAATCTAATTTTGAAGATGCATTTCCACTTATTTAGTAGCACATAAACTTCAACTTCCTAACTTATTCGCATTTCGAATACGTTTCGTTTCCGACAATTGAGGACACATGCCTGCGCATTTTTTGGGCAATTTTGCAAATTTTGAAAAAGTTATAAACGCATTTGAATTGTGAATATCCAATTTTTTTTTTCTTTTTCCCCTCATTATTTATATGATTTAAATATTAATTGCAAATTGACAGTTAATAATAATATATATTTTGAATATATTTATATGAAAAATTGAAAATGTATAAAAAGAACTTATAGATATATAAATAATCTTCCATTCTAATCTTCCAGTCTTAAAAATACCATAAATATGAACTGTCTGAAATTCATTCTATGTACATAATAAATAAGTTCAATGGAAGGAAAAATCCATCTTCATCTCTTTACAGAAACTGCAATTATCTCAATTTTCATTTCATTAAATTAGCTCCGATTAAGATTTTCCGGATTTTCCACTCGATTCGAGACGGCCCTGTGGGCCCCATGGCGTGCTCTCCATCTCAGAAACTCCACGAGAATCGAAGCTCCACACATCGCCACACCAAATCCAGCAAATGTCGATAGAAGGACCGATACAACTGCTTGCACATGAACCTACAAATATCAAAAAAAAAAAAAAAAAAGCTAAATTGAAAAACCTGTATATATAATTAATTTTTTTTTATTTTGCTAATTAAAGAAAATTCGCGACACGAAAAAATAATTTCTTACCAAATCGTAGAAGATATGAGCACAGAGAACCACGAGACCGAATTGAATCGATGCATACAACCATACAAATCTTCTCCTCACTAAAAATATCAAGAATGTTAGCCCTTTTGAGAGAGATTAATTATACTACTTTTTTTATTTCTAATACTAGCCGCATTTATTGAAGTTTAATTTTCAAATAAATTCGGAACGTACCCATAGTTGCAGAAGTTACAGAAGAAAGGATGCCAAGTACGCAAGAAAATGGAAGTGATATAGCAATTGCACTTGTGTCCATTTTCTTCACCTGCATTTAACCCGAGCTATTAGTAAAGAATTAATCATGGTTAGCAAAAAAATGAATTTCGGTTTTATCTTACCAATAGCTGCTCGAGAAAACAAAAGTAAGCCAGCATACTGATAATTACAAGAATAGGAAACTCCTGCCAAACCCTACATACATAAAAGAAACGAAAAAAATTAAAAACTTCAGACAAACAATATAATTAATTAATAATAAAAAAGAAAAAAAATAAAAATAAAAATGAATTTTGCTTGCCTGACACCGCTGAATTCGATGTCTCCGAAATTAGCTGGCCTTGCAGCATTGCGATTGTTTACACAGCTTTGAATACGTAAAAGCGTGACGGGTAGATTTCGAACTTCTTGATTGCAAATATCGCATGTTTTGTTACCTTTAATTGAGAACCATTTTAAGGCACATTCTTGATGAGCTAAAGCGAGTTCGCCTTTGCAGCTACATTCCATCTTTAGGGTTTCTCCGCCTTCACATAGTTCGACGAAGCAGATTCGACAAACGGCTTCTTCTTCAGGTATATCTTGATCACCTTCATTCGCTTATATATATATATATATATATATATATATATATATATATATATATATATATATATATATATATATATATTATATATATATATATATATATATATATATATATATGTTATTGCATTATTAATTAAGGTAATAACAATATTTACCATTGTGTTGTGTTGTGGCAATTGACAAATCTTGAGAGATGTTGTCATCCTTCGTTCTTGGAGTTGAGAGAGTGACACGGAAGAAAGAATTCGATTTTTGGATGGCTTTTTCCTTGTTGATTACGGGTAAAGAAAATGAGCGGGGCATGTGCGGAACTTCTTTTTTCTGCAAGAAACAATCAACAATTTGGAATTTAAAAAAAAGTTACGTATCGATTTTATTATACATTAATTTTCCTAAAATATTTTTTTCTGTATTTAAAAGGAAATATTTAGTTTCATGCACTAGTTTATAAGTTTTATTTCATACAGCACAATTACTTGCATGAAAATGGATACATTTTCAAACATAAAAAATACTTAATAAACACATATTTATCGACTAATTATACCGTCATAATTTATGGAATATTAGATCATCTAATTATAAAAGCCTATTCTATATCATTTTAATTTCTATTGATAATGAATTTTTGTAAGGTTTGCATCAATAACTAGGTAGCCTATTATTCTATATCATTTTACACATATATATTTCTACAAAATATAGTATGAAGGAACGACAACTCGGGTACCAAAACATTATATTTAAAATAAAATAAAAAATATCTAACAGCTTACATCAAGTGTGAGATGACTGTTTATCCTCCCACCATGAGCACTGTCTTGATCTTGATTTTCAAACGGAGACACAGGCAAAGACGAAGTCCTCTTCATCCTAGGTGTAAATATCTTCGAAAACGACCATGACCTCGAAACTGGCGGCTTATTACCTTGATTAGCCACAGTCGAAGGAGCTGACTCAGCCTTCTCCAAATCTGAATCAGAACCCCGAAATTTGAAGCTCAATTTAGGCAGTAGGCTTCTGATAGATGATGAAGATTTCCCTCTGGTCGATGAGGGTGCAGTTAGTCTTGAGTCGGAAGACGGGCTCGAAGATATAAAGAAGTTCACTCTTTTCGGGGTGGGAGTTGTTAATGGAGGCATGTTTATTTGAACGAATTCTTGAAGAGGCATTTCCGATGTTCTGTTCGGTATCTCCAAGAATAGATTCGGCTTTTTCCACTGTTTCCCCTGCGATGTTTCTTTGGCCACACCCGAGGATTCGTCCATCTGAGGAAAGGCTAATTAAATTACAAAATGCTTACAAAACCCTTGAAAAAAAATTGATCCAGTTTCTTGTAATCGATAAGTTTAACATGTCGGTTTACTCGCGTTGTTTCGATGGTTAATCGGAACGAATTGCCATTACTAGACTCCTAATACAGACTTTGAATTGCATATCGAACTGGTGTATCGACATATCGTAAACTAGTTAACTCCAACGAAAAATAAAAAATCCCATCATTGACAAAAGTTGTTAGTTCAATTTTTTTTTTTTACAATCACAATTGTTAGATAAATTGAAGAACATTAGATTAAATCAACAGCCAAAACTCAAAAAACTAATCGAAGGCAAAACCTGTTATTTCAATTACATTTACAACAGAAAAAAAAAAACTCAAAAAATAATCAAAACCACATTTATTAAAAATCTAATTATTGCGATAATCTAATAAACTATTTTCACTATTTCAGAACTCGTGCAATCAAAAAAAAAAAAATCAGAAAGCCAAACCTTAGGGATAATTGGAAGAGCTGGTTCTCTTTCGGATGTAGGAATAATCGTATGATGCAGCGGTGTGTTGTTTTCTTCAGTGGTCATCGTTTTCTCTCACTAGAATTCGATCTCTATCCCCAAATAAGTGGAATTATTCGGAGTTTCTCGCTCTACCTGAATTTTTAGAGTGAGAAAAAAAAGGTTAATGGAATTGTTGATGGGGGGAGGGGAGTGAGTGAATGAAGCAGGTGGTGGTTGGTAATTTGGTATGGTATTTACAGAATTGACATTAATGGTTTCCACAGGAAATTCTCCGCAACAAGAGTGGAGGGCACTGCTACTGCTACTGCTGCTTTCAATTTCCATTAATCCCCACTTTCTCTCTCTTCTCTTCTCTCTCTCTCTCCTCTCTCTCTCACACACACAGAGTGAGTGGGGGCTTTCTTCATCACCTTTTCACCAACTGCTGAGAGGTGGGGCCATGGGCATGTCTCTCTTAATTTTTTTTTATTATTGTTTTTCGGTAAATTACGCAAAACCCCTGAACTTAGACTAAATTACGAAAAATGCCCCCACCTATCTGTAATTACCGAAAATCCCTCGGCATTTGTTTTCGTATTACTCCGAACCCTTATGGTGTGATTTTTCACGAAATCATTTTTATTGAAGGGAATATTTCTTGAAAAATGTCGATTCTACCCTTGCAGCCATGGCATTTCTTTATGTTATTTTTTAAAGATAAAAATTACCATATGAGGACCGTTACACGGAATCTTTATTCTTCTTAAATGACAAATTGACAAGTTTTTAGTATTACCATTACCGTGTAAGAGTATTTTTTATCTTTAAAAAGTAGCATAAAGAAATGTCACGTCTGGGTAGAATCGGTATTTTTCAAAAAATATTATGTGGAATTAAAAGATTCCATGAAAATCACACTGTAAGACGTTAACAAATGACGGGGGTTTAGTAATTACGGATAGATGGGGGCATTTTTGTATTTAGCCTAAATTCAGGGGAGTTTTTGTAATTTACCTTCTTTTTTTTTTATTACTTTTTTCTCATTTTGTATATTATAGATTATCCCATTTTTATGGAGTAAATCTTGAATATTACTCCAAAAAAGAGGTTATTTATTTATCTATTTTATAATTAGTCTCAAGCTAAATATGGAACAAGGGATAGATAGACATACGGATAGGAATAATTTGTGCCTGTGTGAAAAAGTTATGTTGCTTTAATTTGGCATTACTCATTCGATAAGTGCTCTATCACTTTCTTATCATCTTTGTTTTGCTTTTTATATTTAATTATAAAATACACAGATAGGAGAAAATTAGGTAGGCAGATTTTTATCAAAAACAATCTTAAAAATTAAAATTACTTATCATTTGCTTATTCAATTCTACACTTATTATTGCTAATTACTTAAGAGATAATTAATAAATAAAAAATAATAACAGAACTGTATGTTAATTATTTTTATATGTTTTTTTTATAGAGATAATTAGCAAGAACCCCCTCATCTAGGAAAATGAGTTAAGGAAACACCCCATTTCAAAAATAATTAGAGAAAACCCCCTTAGCTAATATCCACCCAAGTGATATTTTGATAATTCCAAAACTACAATTAATTGTCTATTATACTCTTTCAAAACCCTAATTTTATTTTCTCTTTTCCGTCTCTTCTCTCGCGTTTTTCTCTGTTTTTTTTTCTCTCTTTTATACTTTTCTCTCATTCTCTCTTATCGGAAGATGAAGAACCAACCACCGACATCACCGCCAGAACAACGATGTCAATTTCGTTGAAGTCGTCGTCGCTGTCGCCGTCGTTGCAGATCTTAACAAAAGCCATAAAGATGATGATGATTTTGATAGCGATTCTGAGTTCGAATGCCACGATTGTTACATCGGCGGCGAAAAGAGGTAAAATTGTCGATTGGAATCTGATTTTGATGGGTGGTGGTTCTGCTTTGATTGGTGGTGCGAGTTGTGATTTTATTTATTTATTTGTAATAAAAAACCGTCATAATGTCAAAGTAAGGTGGTGATGGTGTGTTGTGGCAGCGGTGTGGTGACGATGAGGAGGCAGATTTAGGGTTTTTTGGTGGATCAGGTGGAGGACGGCACCGGTAGAGAATTTCGCGCATGCTGAAACCTTAATTGACTATGTACATGTTCATAGTCGATTAAGCTAATCCGACTATGCTCTGGCAGTCGATTAAGGTTGATCGACTCCAATTTTTTTTATTTTTTTTGAACTTTTTGTTTATTGATTCCAATTGTATAAATCATTTATAATATTTGTATATTTTTTGTTTTTGTAATATATATTTGATTTTGTATTTTTTTCGCAATGGTGATTTGTTATTTTTAGAGCAGATTCTTAATCGACTATGCTTCACATCATAGTCAATTAATATACCTGATATAAAAAAAATTAAAAACAAAAAAAAAATTAAAAAATTAAATAATTTCCTTAATCGACTATGAAGCATAGTCGATTAAGGAAACTGATACAGAAAAGACGGGAAAAAAAATGGAAAAAAAAAAAAGAAAAATCGATGAGCGCGTGACCCAGTGATGATGTGGCGGGCGGGGGCAAAGTTGGAAAACATAATGGCTGAAAATGGGTGTAGCTTTTCTCAAATGAACTAAAATATTTTGGGCCTCCCTCCATTTAAAAAAATAGTGAGGGGATTTTCTCAAAGAGCCCATTTTTTATAATTCATGAATACTTGTTAGTTTTCTTAATATACATGCATCGATCCAAAACGACAAATATTACTAATAATAGTTTGATTTTATGTTAATCTCAATGATTTGTTTTGATAAGGAAAGATTGAGTATTTGAACAGATATAACATATAAAAGCAGTCTCCACTTTCTTGCTGTTCCAAATATATCTCGTGGCAAAAGTTTAAATTAATTAAACAAGGGATTATATTAGATAATTATGCACCATTAAGCAATTAATCAGTCTATTTAAATAGAAAATTCCGGCCACAAAGTTATTTTTAGTTCAACACGCTCTAATCAACATCTACTTTTTCTTTATAGATCTGATTCTTTATTCCTTTGATTTTCCTTCTGACTATTGATGAGTTTTTTTATTCTTTTCTCACAAATCAGACTTCAAAAGATTATCACAACTTCAGTCAATATTTGCAGATTCTTTCACACTAGAATATATTTATTTTTTAATTTATTTTTGTTTTTCCACAACTCGAGACTTGTTAATTCTTGTAATGGCAAGGGCATTTTAGTACAACACCATACATATTCCTAAAATCAAGCCATATTTAATGAGATTGTTAATCCATCTCAAAGCTTAAAACACGACAATTATAAAGGAACGGAGGGACTAACAAAATCTGGAATTAATATAACCCTTGATAAAACTAAATAAAAAAAGGGCAATTTTATCCATAAATACTAAATATTAGTACAAAAAAGGAATAAAAAAGAAAAGGAGCATATGAATAAAAAATTATAATCATCATAATCCCGGGATTAACGAAAAACGAGAGGCCAAAATCATTGTTAACACAATAAAGAAGATTTCCTCATACATACTTAAACAAGTTAATTAACAGGTTTAGATGAAGTAATCAAAGAAACAAATAA